CTCTTCTCTTCTCTTCTCTTCTCTTCTCTTCTCTTCTCTTCTCTTCTTCATTCCATTATTCTCTTCTCTTCTCTTCTCTTCTACTCTACTCTACTCTACTCTACTCTACTCTACTCTACTCTACTCTATATTCTATTCTATATTCCTTTCTTATTCTATTCTATTCTATTCTATTCTATTCTATTCTATTCTATTCTATTCTATTCTATTCTATTCCATTCCATTCCACTCCACTCCACTCCACTCCACTTCCCTCCCCTCCCCTCCCCTCCCCTCCCCTCTCCTCTCCTCTCCTCTCCTCTCCTCTTCTCTTCTCGCCCAGCCCAGTGTATTCTGCAGAGAACCAACCTAGAACTCAGGAGAAATTTCCTGACAGTGAGAACAAATTAATTGTGGAAAAGCTTCCCTCCAGGAGGTGAGGGTGTTCCATCACTGGAGGCTTTTAAGAACAGGCTGGTCAGAAATGGGAGAGGTTTTCCTGCTTGAGCAGAAGGTTGGACTAGAAGACCTCCAAGGTCCCTTCCAACTCTGTTGCTCCATTAACATGTGGAGAGGTCCCATTTCTAAATACGGCCACTAGGATTTGCTATTGTTACAATTCAGGGTCTAATCCACCAACTTGATGCCTTTTGTCTTCTTCAGTCCTGCAGATGTTGATTCTAACTCCTTACCTGGTTGTCCTTATCTACCTTATCTTCGTTCCCCTGGGCATGTACTCCCCCTGCATCCGGGAGAAGGGGACTCTGGGTCCCAAGCCGGCCTTGATTGGTCACAGAGGAGCCCCCATGGTAGGTGGAACCGGAAGTAACTCCCGTAGCCAAAAGAGGGGCTATCAAAGCAACCTTTCCAAAGTAGGTTCCCTCAAGGTTTGCTGAAAGTAGAACTTCAGTATTGACCAAGCCACTGGATGTGGTGGCAAGATTGGTATGAGATGGTCCATATCTGAATGGACCATCTCAGGTGGGTAGGCATCTCCAAACCTGACCATTTTAAGACTTGTGGACTTCAACTCCCAGAATCCCTCCACTTTAAGACTTGTGGACTTCAACTCCCAGAATTCCTCAGCCAGCCATGCAGTTGAAGTCCACAAGTCTTAAAGTGGAGGAATTCTGGGAGTTGAAGTCCATAAGTCTTAAACTGGAGGAATTCTGGGAGTTAGTCCAGAAATTTTGGGCTCTGTTATAGTCGTAAGTCAAGGACTACATGTCACTTAAAAACAGCTTAATGTAATTTTGGTGTAGGAAGACAAGAAAATATTGGACTAAAATACGCACTTGATTGGAAAAGATGATTAAGCAACATATAGATTTAAAGCCAGAAATATTTTTGTTAGGTATAATACCAGAAAGCTATGATAAAGGGATTATATACTTAATACTTCACATATTGGCAGCAGCGAGAATTGTATTTGCACAATATTGGAAAAATGAAAACACCCCACCAGATGAAAGCATAATTCGGAAAATATTGGATCATGCAGAGATGGATAGATAGAAATAAAAAATAAACATAAAGGAGATACAGGGTATTATTTAACATGGGATAGGTTTTATCAGTGGTTAGATACAAGAGGTAGAAGTTAGAAGAAGAAAGATTATTTTTATGTGTATTTAAAAGATTTAAAAGATGAACATTATGTATGCCAGTATAATTAATAGAAGCACAAATCTATATATATATATAAAAGCAAAATACCATCATCACAAAATCTCCAGAACCATAAACCCTACAAACTTGACATTTGGCACCTATGTTCCTCTTGGCTTCTCGGTGCTCACTAAGAAAGGATTTTTCCAAATGACCATCAGATCATTTAGAATATTTTCTATATTATTATTATTAACACACTCTGATGCTAAGGAGTTCTACTCCCCCTCCTCACCTGAAAAGAAACCTGTTCCAAATGCAAAACACATGCAGAGGAGAGGAGTTTCAGTTTCAGTTTCACAACAGCACCAAGCAGCTTTAGTACAGAACAGTTGAGCTAAGCCACGCCCAGGCTCCTTGCTGTCTCCTCCTTGCTCACGCAGCAAATACTGTTTCAGTTTCCAAACAGCCCTCAACTCTCTCACACACTGACAGGATGCTAGCCGGATGAATACCGATGGATTCTGGTAGGCAGAGGCAGAATTTCTTCCTCTTTATTTTCCTCCCCAAAAACTAAGCCTGACCCACATAGTTTCATAGCGAAGCATGGGAACCGAGCTACTAGTAAGTTAATAAAACTATAATTATTGTTATAATTACTATATATTATTATTATCATCACTGCTATTATATTTGTTTTTGTTGTTTTTGGTGAAATGAAACGCCTGAACAATACACAATTTTCAAAATATGTATAAATAAATAAATATATCCTTTTTTTAAAAATGGAGTTGTACGGTGAGATGCATGCGCTAACTAAGCCCCGTAGTCACTGACTCTTTCCAAATTCTGAATGTTTTATTTTTTAATTCTAGCTAGCTCCTGAGAATACCAAGATGTCGTTTGCCAAAACCATCGATCACGGCGCTATCGGCCTGGAGACCGACGTCACCATTAGGTAAGCATGTTGGGCCGCTCGATTGATGTCCCCAATTTGGGCCTGAGCCTGGTGCCGAAGCCAACAATGACCGCCAGACACGAGGTGCAGGCTTTCCGATTGCTTTTTATTGGAGTCCTCCAAGGAAAAGGGCTCCTGGTCAAAATGCCAAGAGCCAAGAACAAAGGACTGAGTAAGTTTTACACACTTTCACTAAAGGAGAAGGTGGGGCAAAATGAGATAATAACAAATATCACCTAATAAACATTTTAGTAATAATTCTACAATTTGTTCTATTGGTCTCTAACTGTCCCTATTCCTAGGTCTTGGCTAATGAATGCCCCAGGAGTTATCTAATACATATTTTATTTGCTCAGGCCATCTCTATTCCTAACTTTTAGCTGAGGTCTGCAAGTTGGCTAACTCGTAGTACTTTCATCAGCTTTCCCATTAGCCAGGATTGGTACAAGATTTACATCTGCATATCTTCTGTGGATAAGGATTCTTCGTTCTTGCCAGGCAGACTCCACAACTACAGGATTCCTGATATACTTTGAAGTGTGAGCCATGACCTGGTTTTATTTTAGCAGATGATGGCCCATCACAATCATGGCTTATTTCTTTAGCCACAATTCTGCAACCAGCAGCGTTTCCTTAAGAAAAAAAAATTTCCCATCTTAACTTCGTGAAGTTGGCTAAGTGGGCCCTAAGTCGGCCCTGCAAAATCTTCCCACCCACACAAAAACCTGGTTTGTTTGTTTGACTATTTAGAGATAGCCCTTGACTTACAATCAGTTTGTTTAACGACCGTTCACAACTTACGATGGCACTGGGGGAAAAAAGCGACTCATAATTGTTTGTCACGCTTAAGACTGTGGCAGCACGTTGATCCTGGTTTGATCCTGGTCAGCATGATCAAAATTCGGATGCTTGGCAACCGGTCTGTATTTACGACGGTCGCAATGTCCCAGGATCATGGGATCCCTTTCTGACCAGTAAAGTTAATGTGTGGGAGGAGGGAAGACAGATTCACTTAACAACCGTTGTTCCTCCCTGAACAACGGCAGTGATTCGCTTAACAGACGTGGCAAGAAAAGTCGTAAAATGGGACGACATTTCAGCATAGAATAGAAACTTTATTGTCACTTTGAATGTACATTAATCAGGATTACAAATAGCTCTGGTACATTTTGAAATAATCCTGTCTAAAACGTTGGTTCATGTCTCTTTTATTCTGGTGTCTGCTATCATCCAAAGACCTTATTGAATCTGATAGATCAATAGCCTATTTTTTTTCTTCCCACGCATGGCACTTTAATTTTGATCTTCCGGATAGACACGGGGCAAACCTGCGGTCCCACCTGTTTCTCTTTTGCGACAGCTACGACGGCGTGCCCTTCCTGATGCACGATCATTCCTTGACCAGGACCACGGATATTGCGCGCCTCTATCCCCACTTGAGGGGCGAAGACCCCGCTTACTTCACCTGGGACATCTTGGAGAAGCTGAATGCAGGGGAGTGGTTTCTCAAGGTAGGGTTCTTGTTGGGAAGGAGGAGGGCCCAGGATGGGGTGAGACTCCGGAGTGGATCCCGTGTGTTCCCAGGAGGGAGAGGGAAGGATGGGAAAACTCGGAAGGCTGAGGTCAACCCGAGAAGGTGGACTTAGTCAGGAAATTGAGTCTGTAGGAAGACGCTGAGCTTCTTCAGCTCTGACTGTATGGTGTGTGTGTGTGTGTGTGTGTGTGTGTAAGATAGATAGATAGATAGATAGATAGATAGATAGATAGATAGATAGATAGATAGATAGATAGATAGAAGCAGACAGAGACAGTTAGAGATAGAGATAGAGATACAGATGGGGGGGATTCTACCTGGTCGGACCGGTTCTATAGAACCGGTTGTTACGATTCTGCACAGTTCAGAGAATTGGCAAATCGTGCCACTGGCTGGCGCCTCCCGTCCCTGCCCACTCACTCCTTACCTGGCAAACTTGCCTGCTAAGTTGCTATTTTTCCTTCCCTCCCCCCGACCATCAGCTGTTCTGCTGTGCCGGGAGGTTTAGATTAGCTAGAAAGCAGGAAATGGTTGGATTTCTTGCTTTCTAGCTAATCTAAAAGCAGAGCTGAACCTTCCTTAGGACTGAAGCTTCTATTTTTCAGTGCAGACTCAGGTAGCCGATGGCAGAAAGATAGATCTCTGAGTGAATCTGTGATTCTGTGAACAGCTCAATCTGCCTGCCTGCTTTGCCTGATTTTGGATAAAAATTGCTCTTTTTTGATTAAAAAAAAATCAATATTTACATACATGGTGTGTTGTGAGTTAATTTTGTATTTGCTTGCAAGCAAATTTTATGTGACAGACTCAGGTAGCAGATTGAAGAAAGGTAGATCTCTAAGTGAATCTGTGATTCTGTGAGCAACTCAATCTGCCTGCCTGCTTTGCCTGATTTTGGGTAAAAGTTGCTCTTTTTTAAATAAAAAATTAAATATTTACATAAATATTTACAATATTTACCTACAAGCCGCACCTACTCAGTCACATGATCACCAAGACACACCCACAAATTAGGCCATGCCCACAGAACCAGTTGTTAAGACATTTGAATCCCACCCCTGGATAGAGATATAAATTAGATAGATGATAGATAGAGATAGATAGATAGATAGATAGATAGATAGATAGATAGATAGATAGATAGATAGATAGATAGATAGATAGATATAGATATAGATATAGATATAGATATAGATATAGATATAGATATAGATATAGATATAGATATAGATATAGATAATGATAGTTAGATAGATAGAGATACAGATAGATTAGATAGAGATAGAGATAGATAGGTAGATATAGATAAAGATAGATAGAGTTAGATAGAGATACAGATACAGATTAGAGAGAGAGATGATGTACAGATAGATAGATATAGATAGATATAGAGATATAGAGATAGAGATAGATAGATGAGAGAGAGAGATTAGATGGATGGATGGATGGATAATAGATATAGATAGAGATAGAGATAGATTAGATAGAGAGATATAGATATATAGATATAGTAGATAAAGATATAAATATAGCTATAATAGATATATAGAAACAGATACAGATATAGATACAGGTACCATCCACTCAGAGGTGAAGAAGATCCTCAGATGAGAAGCGAAACGTCTTCAACGAATAAACAAGAAAGTCCAGTTGCCTCCTGCAAAAAGCACCTTTGGAATAGTGCTTTGGGTTTTATTTATTTATTTTTTAAAAAAGATCTAATACTGCCTGATTGCTGTATATTCCCTCCCCTCCCTCCTTCAAACCTAGAACAAACCCTTCTATCACACGCCTCCTTTCTCTGCCGAGGATGAAGAGCTGGCCAAGAGCCAGACCATTTTCAAACTGAGTGAATTTCTGACCCTTGCGGACAAGGCCAACAAACTGGTCCTCTTCGATCTGTATCGCCCGCCGAGGTTTCATCCGTACAGGAACAGCTGGATCACCAGAACTTTAGAAGTACTCCAGGAAGAATCAAAGATTAAACCCCATTTGGTAGGCGAGGTTTCCTCCCATTCCCAAACCAAAGGAATTCTTCCTCTTCTTTAAACTTTGCTGTCCAGAAGGGATCTTGGGATGACGCCACCGTTTCTCTGGTCCTTTCATCCCCACTGCCATTTTGGGACAGACACAGGGATCTACAGGAAAAGGGGAGGGGGGGGGAGAGAAGAAAACCAAAATGGCCGCCACAACCCTGTTGTCAACACATAAAATATTTCTATTGTCTTTTAGAGTTGCCAATAGAAAGGGAGCGGGGAAAGAGCGGTGTGGCAGCTTGCAAACCAAATCTGCATCATTCCATAAATGTTTTCAAAGATAGTAACTAGGCGACTGAAGTTTCTGCCGTGCAAAATTCTAACTGGAGAGCCTGATGGATGACTCTGGGCTAGGGAGGTGTCCCATTGGAGGATATGGATTACGATACACCCAGAGGGGGTGGGGGTGGGGAAACCAGAGTCAAGGGTGACGGTGAATTATGTGCCTCAGAGTTGATTATGCCCAGGCAGCGCCGGACATGTTAACTCCTAATAAATCCTTTTGAAGTTTTGGAAGTTTGGCTCGAGACTCAGGATTTAATTGGAGTAACTCCCGGAATCCGGACACCTGTGCTCGAAAGGAATGGAGTCGGAGATGCCATCTTGATTTTCCTGACTCCCCCCCCCCCTGGGGGATGATAGGTTCAAGGGAACATGGGGAGGAAGGGTCTCTCATGAATATGTCCATATTGGTAACCTTGCAAGAAATATGAGGCTGAGAAGGAAAGGGGCTGGCACAGTGGTGAAATGCTACCGGTTCGGCCCGGTTCACTTGAACCGGTAGCAAAAATTGATACCTGTTCAGCTAAACTGTTAGTAAAAAAAACAACCCTGATGATCAGCTGGGAGGAGAAAGAAGAGAAAAGTGCAAGATTGGCCCTCCCACTTGTCCCTGCGATTTTCTGTTCTTTATCCTCTAAGTCAGGGGTGGGCAAACTTTTTGGCTCGGGGGGCCGCATTCACTTTTAAAATTTGACAGACGGGCCGGGTCAGCACAAGATTTTTTGGGAATCGCCCCCCCTTCTTCTCCTCCTTCCCCTCCCCTCG